AGTGAATCTGTACGGCATTGCACCACAAGTGCTCACAAAACAAACCGGTTATTCAATTGCCATAAAAAAACAATTACTAGTTAGTTATAGACTCTCTCTTTCTCTCTCTCTCCTCTCTCTCTCTCTGCTTCTCTAATTCATTCATGTGTGTATCGACTCTTCACATGATAAGTGTCTTCTTCTTAGCTCAAAGTCAATGATAATCTAATGGAAAGCTTTTCAATATCAATGAAAAATAAAATCTAAATAAAGATTACGCGACGAAACAAGAAATTATTTTTTAAAACTCGTAAAAAGTTAACAAATTATACGATTTGACCCAAAATAGTGTGAATAGAATATTCTATACGTTATAATAAAATTAATGTTTTAACAAAAATTGCAGAAAAAACCAATTAAATGGCAAAATAAATATTTGATTGCATTGAAGGCATCCTTTAAGATGTTTAGGAGTTGTTGGGATCACATGAGTAATGACATCCAAACGTCAACATAGAGTTATAATGTAATACTTTTTACACTTTCATCTTCGAGGGTACACAACGACCCAAATATCATAAGCACATCAATTGCTATCCATTCCTCTCAACCATTATATACACCGTATAAATGACTCTCAATAGTCATCATAAATATTAAATTTCTAAATAGATTTTTGAACGATAAATAAGAAAAATATTTTTATTTGAAAAATTCTTGACTTACGTATAAAACTCTTATTTTTCATTCTTATAATGAAATAATTTGCTCAAAAAGTAAAGAATTTACACAAACCTTATACTTGAAGATGAATGCGAGAAAAAGTAAGCAAAATTACATAACTTTTCAAACAAATTAATTTCAAAATAAATAAATTTTTATGGAAAATATGTGTGTTATATATATTTAAACAAAAATCTTATAATGAAATAATTTAAAAACACAATTCATATAACAATCAAATGTTGACTTTTACTGGAGTTAAGGGCGAAAAGAGTAAACCATTTAATAATTGTTGTCTATAACAGCACAGGTATAGCACAGGTTTATATTGTTTGCACAGGTATTGTATGGCACAAGTGAACTGTGAAACATATTCCGGTCAAATTAATATGCTGCATTATTACCTAATATTTTTACCATTATTTAATGAATTAAAATACATTATAATCCAAATTACATTTAATATTTAGCTTACTTTTTTGTTAATGAATTTAAACTTTTTATCGTTAGATTAAAATAAATTTTCGTAAACTTTATTTAATAATTTTTTGTTTTGACTATAATTTAGATTATAATAAAATTAAAATAATTATTTTTGAAATAGTAATTTTTTGTTAAAATAAATAGCTATTAAATAAATAAATATATTTTCGTTTATCCTTCCCATTGCCTCCCGAAGTGAATGGATGTGAATTTAAAACACTTTCGCTTTAACATTGATGTCCACATCATCTTCTCGTATAAATTATACGATAATCACAAATACATTTCAATTTGTTATTCCGTCTAAAAAAAGCTTAAATTTTTGCATTTATAATTTGATTGCAATCTGTCATTAAATGTTAATGTTTTACTACTGTATAACTTTATAAACTATATTTATAAACACTCATCTCTTCTGATCGCACAGGCGTTTAGCCCACAAAGCCTTGAATTTTGCAATTCTTTTATCATTTTCTTCTTCGAAATCCTTATTATATTTATTATTTGAATAAAAAAAATCGGCGCAAAAGGTCTGGCAGTTAAGGTTCAGACAAAAAATATTTAATTTCATGTTAAGAATATTGATTGAAATGTGAAGTAATATCAATCATAAGAAGAAAAATAAAGCAAATCAAATGCGAAACTGATTGGACCAACAGTTGAGCGCAAATAATAAGCAATAATTATGGTTTTCAGTGCATAATAAGTAAAAAACTATAACTTCTCTCTTATTATAAGTCTAATTAAACGCTGAAAATTGAAGGACAGAGGGAAAGAAAATATACTCTTTTTGAATATGACATAACATTTCACTTCAAAACTAATCAAAAATTAATGTTAACTCCAATAAAGGTCTCAATAAATCTCAATTTCGAAGACTTCTAACATTTTTAAGACTTTTTAAATTTTGTTGAAATAGTTTTCTTGTATTTAAGTGAAAGTTAACCGCAATTTATCTGTTAATGAAATTTAAATATTTATTCAATCGTTTCGTACATTCGTTTACTTAATATAAATATTTAGTTTTAATTAAAATTTTATATTTATTCTCTCGTTTACAATGAACTAAACATAAAACTATGTGACTATTGTGTGACAATATGAATAGCAAAAAAGTTTGTGATAACTTTGAGTTGACTATTATTAATAAATCATTTTTTACAATATTGTCTCCAATTTATCCTTAAAATGTTTTTAATTTAATGATTAAAAGATTAGATAAGTTGCGAAAAATTTCAAAGATAATCACAAAATCAAGTGAAATATACATTAAAAATATTTTTGTGATATAAAAACAATTTGTTGATTATATGCTTGATTTAAAAATATAATTAAATTATAAATTCAATGAAATCATTATCAATCTATAAAACAAAAGTTATTATAACACTCAAAATGTCAAAATGTATTACAAATTATTTATAAAATAATAATAATGTGTAAGAATATAATTAATTATCTATTATTCTAATCAATCATATATTGAATGCTCTCTTCAATCATACAATACCTTCAAAAATGACTTGTTTTGGAAGAAAACATTTTGTGTTGCATTGAAAACCAGTATTTATTTGTTCACAAAAACGCTTTAATTGTCTTCTAATTCAAGATTACATATAATATATGTCTAATAAACAGTAAATTGAATTAATCTAACAATAAGTATAACTACAGAGAGATATAGTCCTTAAAAGTTGTGCCGACTCTTGCAATACAGACACCCAATTCATGATTGACTTCTCATTGACTTTATTTCGCTAATAAACACATCATTAAAACATTATAATAACCATATTCTCAATGAATGCATTGTTTGGTAACACATTTGAGCCAATAATTGGCTTTAAGTGTGAATTTGTAATCAGATTTAATAAATAATAATAAAAATTTCAAAAAAAAGTTTTCAATTCATAAGGAATTGAAACTTATTATAGGAATAACTTTTAGGGAGAGATGTGTTGCCAAGCATTCAATGCTATCTATTGTTTGGTATTAAATACACGTAAACGCAGTCAAAGGCTGTGTTGACGTCACAGACCTTTAAATGCATTGTTTGTGAATACGAGTCACTAATAGTGGAGTAAATGTCGTAAATGTCTGTCAGATATATAGACACAGCAATGAACTCAATTGAAGCTCAAAGTTATCCCATTGTTAACGCAATTACACTATTATTTCAGTCAACATTTCCATCAATTAGTAAATTGAATATATTTTATACCAATTTAAACGCCAAACGTATAAATGAGACAAAAATGAATAAAATAATGCATTAATTGTTTGCGAAGTACAGTATAGTAGAGGCGTATAGTATAGCGAGGTTTGAGTGTTTGACACAATACGAGTCAATACAACGTAAACACAGGACTCAGTGAGCGATCAATTGATGAGCGAATGAATCGTATGTTTGATTCAAACAATCGTTGCATTCATTTGTGTTTTTGTTTGGATTTTTAATTCAGTAATTGTTTTGCAAATTGAATACACATTTGGTTTGCATTTTGTGTTGAATTTGGTTATGAAATAAAGTGTCGGATAATTGAGACGCGAAATGAAAGCCAGTCTTTCATTCAATTCAATGACAAACTATTGTATAACAAAAGGAGAGATGTTTTGACGACGAAAGCCGTCGTTTAATCCCGTAATCAAAGCTATTGTTTTGTCCCGTAATCGCTGCCAAAGAGAGCCCACGATATGTCTCATCAGATGTCTTCGTCGGTGGCCTCGAGTCGGTATCACAACAACAACGGCCACAACAACGCCAACAATCATCACAACAATAGGTCCCAAAGGGAGACCACCAGAAGACACGTCGAGAGTCGACACCAATCGGAGCGCCGCCACGACTCCTCTGAGATCAGCTGTTGTCTCAAGTATCTCATCTTCGGGTCAAATGTGGTGTTTTGGTTGACGGGGCTATTGGTGTCAGTGGTGGGGGTCTGGGCCTGGACTGAGAAGGAGGTGTTTAATAATCTGACCCGTATTACCAACATTGCATTGGATCCAGCGTTCATCATGATCTGTGTCGGGTGTCTCGCCTTTACCATAGGCTTCACGGGCTGTGTCGGCGCTCTCAGAGAGAATACGTGTCTTCTCGCCGGAGTAATACATTGTTTACATTGTTATGCCTTTATTTGATCCACTTATCACTCACACTGTATTGTCTCTCCTTTTTCTTTGTAAAGTACGCCATCTTTTTGGCCATTTTGTTGCTCTTAGAGATGACGACCGGAATTCTTGGCTTTATTTTCAAGGATTGGGTTCGTCTGTGGCTTTGATCCACACATTAAGACTAATTGTGATAATTACAGATCAAATCTCAAGCGGCGACTGGCTTTCAGGCATTCATTGTGTACTATAGGGACGATCCCGACCGACAGAATCTGGTCGATTGGGTTCAGGACCAGTGGTTGGGCTGTTGTGGTGTCGACGGACCTAAAGGTTTGATGAGTTGTTGTGGCAAAGCCTCTGAAAAGGAGTAATTGATTGTATGAATTACGTAAAGACTGGGACCAAAACATATACTTTAACTGTTCGAGCGCTGCGGTGGGCAGTCGTGAGGCCTGTGGTGTCCCCTTTTCATGCTGTCGTCCGATACCCAACGAAATCATCCGCAATAAACAGTGCGGATATGATGTCCGCAAACATGAATTCGTGAGACATTTGTTTTGTTGGCTCTTTTCACGCATATTCTCAGCACTTCCTTACCCTTTAAAACTCTAACTAACTTTCATATAACAATTGAAGCAATTGTTTCAATACTTTCTTTACTGATGTGATTGTGACCACAAACAGGTCGGGGATAAGTCTATAGTGATCTATGAAAAGGGATGTTTAAGGGCTGGAGAGGAATGGATTGAAGGCAATTTGGTTCCGGTGGCGGGTTTTACAGTTGTTATAGCGGTTCTTCAGGTATGGCTGTCCTCTTCTAATGGTGTTTGCGCTCTATTTCTGGGATTTGCTTATTACTGAACTTCACATTCAAATGGTTTCATTGAATGCTTTTTCGCTCTAAACATTTCGCGTGAAATTCTTTGTGAAACTAATGTAGTCTTACGTAAGAAATGACATTAAGACCAGATATTCATTAGAAATACAGTCACGATATCTATGAAAAAGGATGTCTTCGGGCGGCAGAGGAATGGATTCAAAAGAATTTACTCATTGTATTGTTATTCATGTTAGGCCTGTCTTTCACTCAAGTAAGTCATCGGATAATCCATTGTTTTGTGATTTTAAGCAAATCCTCAAAATGGAAAGCAATTAAAGCAATAAATGAAAATACATTGTATTTAATAAATAATGACATATTTCTAACCCAAATATGTATAGATTCTGGGCATATGTTTTGCCCAAAACCTAAGGGCGGATATATTCGCACAAAAGGCTAAATGGCATTAAGAATCGGTGTTTGATTGACACAACAGATGATGAGTGAATGGAAAACGCAATTCTCATTGAAAACCTATCCATTAATTAACAGAAACTTATTTTATATCTAATATATAAATATAATATAAATAATTATAACATAAATATAAATATTCTCGTCGTCCTAATCGTAATTGCAATCTATTCTAATGTAATGTATAATTATATTCACTAATAATTTATAACATCATGAATAATAAGAACTAATTGATAACAAATTAAATTCATTTCAAATGTGTTTTTTGTAATTTATTTCTACATTTATTTTTCTTCATTCCGTTAGTGAGTAAGCGTTTAATGTTTGTATAAATGATTTAATTGTTTGAAAATTAATTATTTTTGCTGTAAATGAAAACCCATTTTACAGTGAAATGACCCCAAAGTGAGTGATAGGGTTAAAAGTATTGTATCCAACACTTAATGTTTTATCGATTTTTTCGCTCCTATTCTTATTCTCACTGAATATTCTGTGGGAGAACTCAGACGCAGAAGCGAACCACTCGTTTGCGTCAATGGATTGAGAGATTGTAGGTATCGATCGATTCCGTTGTTATTAAGCACAGCAAAGACGGAGACATATTTCGGGACATATTGTTTGACAATTTGACAACAATTATGAGAAATTTAATTATCATTTTCGTGTTTGTCTTCTCATTGAATATAAGCCACAATTTGTGTTCAAATGAATCGGCGTTTCGTTTCAAACATCATAACAATCAAGAATTAAATGATTTATTACAAGCGGTACACAAACGGTGTCCGTCTATAACCAGATTATATGAGTTGACAGAACGGAGTGTCAACGGATGGCCACTCACTGTCATCGAGTTGTCCGACAATCCCGGAGACCATGACTTTTGTAAGTATTGTATAATATATAATAAAAACTAATTTATTCTGTATTTTGGCTGTAAAACTAACTCTCCATACGTTTATGTGTACTAAAGTGGAGCCGGAGTTTAAATATATCGCTAATATGCACGGGAATGAAGTGTTGGGCAGAGAATTACTCCTTAAACTGGCCGAACATATGTGCGATGAATATAATAAAGGAAATAAAGAGATCCAAACACTGATAAATACAACGCGAATACATTTGATGCCATCACTGAATCCGGACGGTTGGGACGCGTCCACTAATAATGACCTGAAAGGAAAAGACTGGCTCTTGGGTCGCGCCAATGGCAATGGTGTGGATCTGAACCGAGACTTCCCTGACTTGGATTCCATCGCATATCAGGATAACTCCCAAACGGGAAATATCTTCTCTCAGGAGACCATCGATCATAACTTACAGCCAGAGACCAGAGCGGCGATGGCATGGATTTTATCCAATCCTTTTGTACTGTCAGCTAATCTACACGGAGGCGCTCTTGTGGCCAATTATCCGTACGATGAGAGTCGCGACGGAAGTGCCAGTTCTTACACGGCTTCGCCTGACGACAACACATTCCGGTAATTGTCTACTAATAGACATCATTTAGTCAAATATGTAAACTAATGATTAACCATATTTGACAGGCATTTGGCAAATGTCTACGCTTTGACGCACAAGACTATGTCGACGGGAGAGCGGGTGAGGTGTGAAAACGACGATGACTTCACCAAACAGGGAGGCGTAACGAATGGCGCCCAATGGTATAGCGTGTCCGGAGGTATGCAGGACTTCAACTATTTGGGATCAAATGACTTCGAGATAACACTCGAATTGGGATGTAATAAATATCCGGCCGAAAACACTTTGCCCACCGAATGGGACAACAATCGCGATGCGCTCATCGCTTATATGAAACAGGTTTGTGAACACATCCGACAATTAAATGATTGCTATAATTAACGATTCTATCCTTTGGTCGCAAATATTAGGCACATTTAGGTATTAAAGGAATCATAAGGAATGCGAGAACAGGAGAGCCTATTGTCGGCGCTTCGGTTAAAGTGAAGAATGTGACGAATGGAGTCAACAAATTGATTAATCACGACATTATCTCTGGTTTGTTATAATCGGTGGCCAATAGTACAACAGGAATAACGCGTTAATTATATGTATTTTAGTTAAAAACGGCGAATACTGGCGATTACTAACTCCCGGAACGTATGAAGTATTGGCTGTGAAGGACGGCTACGAACCCGACGCTAAGGCTGTCATCGTTAAGAACAGCGCACCCGAAGCCGTTCGCTTGGATCTCAACTTAAAACCAATTGACGACACGTTTGATCCTCAGGTGATGGCATCGAATGACTATTTTGGCTATAAATCAATCCCTGATAACATTGATTTGAATAATCCGGAAGTCCTTCGACTCATTAATTTTCTGCAAAGAGCCGGCGCTCAGAACAACGACAGAGCGGCCGCTAATTAACACACTTTTCGTTTATATTTCAAAAACATTTTTACTCGTCTTTCCTTTTTGCCGATAAAAACATTTTCAATTTGTTTAAAATCACGTTTTAATTTCATTCATGTATTTAATCCTTGTTTTCATTGTTATATATTGTGTTAATTTTAACCGAATTACAGTTTAATTCCAAGAGTAAAACAATTGTGCAGTTCTTATAATATACAGAGTATTTGTTGTTAACTTTTCAAATAAATTAATTAATTGTTTGTTTGTTTTGAATAATATTTTAAGTAATAAAAACCGTTTGTCTGTACATATAAGTGAATTCGTTGACCACATTTTAATACTAATTATATTTTAATAGAAAAATAATGCTTTAAATAAACCATTAAATGACTTTTAAGTAGTGCTTAAGATATGTTAGGAAAAAGTCATTAAATTCTTGAACACAAATAATATTTGGCTTTCAATGGATGGCTTTTATGGAAAGTTGTAATAATACTGATTATTAATAATCTTAAAACTCTATTTACATAATAGTCTTAATTGCCTGAAGACAAGGCGGCGGCCGGAAGTGAAGCCTTATCTAAGTCGTCGAAATATGGGTGCTTTAGAGCCGCTTTGGCTGATATACGTTTGTGCGGGTCGTATATCAACATACTCTGCAATTGGGACACAAAACACGGTTCAGTTCAGTTCACTTCTCAATAACTAACAGTTAGGACTCAATACATACCTGAAGTAACTCTATTCCCGGCTGTTGTGTGTTCGGCATTAGAGACCCGATAATGTTTTTCTTCCAAAGTGGGAACGACTGCTTATAGTCTGGCATTTGTGTCACTCCCGGCCAACATTCCTCATCGGGAGTGCCCAGAGTTCTGAACACCAAATCAATTGTTTCATTAAATACCCGATAATGTTTTTCTTCCAAAGTGGGAACGACTGCTTATAGTCTGGCATTTGTGTCACTCCCGGCCAACATTCCTCATCGGGAGTGCCCAGAGTTCTGAACACCAAATCAATTGTTTCATTAAATATAATATTCATTAACAAACAAAAAATTGCAAATTCTGTACCGAAATATTCTGAACAACTGATCGATTTCAGAGTCGCCGTGAAATAAGGGGTTTTTGTTGGCCATCTCTGCGAATATGCAGCCAATACTCCAGATATCAACCGGTGTTGAGTACCGCTGACCACCCAATAAGACTTCGGGCGCCCGATACCAAAGAGTGACCACTTCATGGGTGTAGACGCGCACAGGTATACCGAAAGCTCGGGCCAAACCAAAGTCGGCCAGTTTTATGACACCTTTGGAGTCGAGCAATAGATTCTGTGGCTTTAAGTCCCGATGGATAACACGTCGCGAATGACAGAACACTATTGCGTCCAATATTTGATAGAAATAGCTCTAAGAGTTTGACAGTAATTGTAAATCAATTGAATCAAAACAATGAGATAATCAATACTCACTTTTACTAGACTTTCATCCATGAGTTTATTGTTGGGAAATGAGTCCAAATACTTCTTCAGATCCATCGACAAGAACTCAAACACCAAATACAGTCGATTCTCTTGCATTATCACGTCCT